CAATGGCCACTGACTAGAAGAAGTGTGTGGTCTCAAGACCACAGCCAGATTTAGGTGAATCTATTGTGTAAGGCAAGTGATTTTAGTAAGAATACCAGAAATGACTATGCCTACCAGCAAATAGCAAAGAAGCAGGCAGTATTGTAAATTTACTGGACCAGTGATCAGTGCAGGGAGTGGATTAAGTGGCTCAAGCCATACTACAGCAAAGCTAAGGACCATAACTGCATCTCTGAGAACTCATCATCATCATGCCCATTTTATGAGGACTTTGACAGTATATGGGGTAATGCACCTAGCAAAGAGTCAACAATGGTGTGTGATGACCTGGTCAGTCTGGATGTCACCCTGCTGACTCCAGGTTCTAGCATAGGAATGATGGAAGTTAGCAGCAGGTGCCAGATGAGACCACCAAAGTGACTGGTGATGAAACTGGACCCCCCCGTCCCCAAGGAGTTACCGGCCACCCAACTGCCAGCAGAAGTTGCCCAGAGCTGGGCAAATTTCTGGTTCCATTTTTGTGCTTATTAATATAGTCGAGTGCAGTCGAGAAGTGTGCCAGGGAGAAGGAAAGGGGATGCTGGTGGAGTTCTGTGTGTTTGTACGCACTCATAATAGGCTGTATTAGAAGCTGTGGGAAGGCACCAATCCTGGTGGATACTAACACAGCATACTGTTGATTCTCTCATGAATTTTGACCCAAACTCAGGTGCTAATAGCTGCAAACTCTTCCTGTAGCAGGAACTCCAGATAGGTAGACATATTTCAAGTAAGGACATCTTTTAAGGCCCACCTCTGTAGCTGAACAGATACTCCACTCGTAAATCTGTTGTTCACTCCCCATACAGATGAATACTTTGGTGGCATACACAGCAGGTTGGAATAAGACCTCGCTGTGCCATTTGGGAACCACGAGAACTGTTATGTATTCCAAAATGAGGAATGCTTGGAATGATAGACTAGTCTTCCAATTTCCATCACCAAAGTTGTTGGCAATGGACATGTAGCAGTCTGGAGTAGCCAGCTTCCAGATGGTTATAACAACTGGGCTTCTGGACTGGCATGGCTGCTCTCATGCATGTATCTTGATGCTGGTTGGTCAGGGCAAGCTGCTCACAAAGCTCCAGAAATATAGTTTTCTTCCTGTAAAGTTATAGAGCCACTGCTAGCCTGCATAACAGTGGCCTCATTCCATTCCACAGAGGTCTGTATAACAATGTGGTCCCACCAGTCTGTGTTCGGTGTTTCTGGAGGAGGGCCACGGTTTATATAGAGGGCAACAGCAACTATACTGAGTGTCATGAGCAGCATCACCCCGTTTGACTCTGCCACATCTGTGCCCTCAGTTGTCATCCTCCTCCATCATTGGCTTTCTCAGGTAGCTTGGAAAACTCCACTGGAATGTCCCCCAATACCTCACATAAACTCGCCTGTTTCCTTAAACAAGGTTAAAAAAACTAGAGAGAGAAGTTCTTTATATGGTGACTCCTCCAAGTTGATGGGAGCATTTGAACCAAAATGACTGATCAGCAGGAAGTGTTGTCAGGCTGCTCAAGGATGGCAAGAAGGATGGACAATCATGTTTTCCCATGCTGCACCACTAGCAAAGGTCTAGTGGCCACATTTCTGGAGGGCAGCAAGTCTGGGATATGGTTGGTTGGATTTTGGCCTGCATACTGCAGTGTCAATGTTGGAATGCCAGACTCATGCCCATCTTCAAAAATTCACAGCCTTGGATCAGCAATCAGTGTAGATGTTCAAGCCCTCAGTTCTCAAACCCAAGGTTCTCTGACTTGAGTTCTAGTAACTCTGGGCTTCCATTGCTGTGTAGACACACTCTATAAGACTTAGAATGTCCCAGAACACAGGGGAGTGAGATGTTGATGAAAGACCTAAGAGCCAAGGAGTTCTGTTATGCGTCTGAACTTTGCCTTTTATTGATTTGATTTAAGTGATCATTGCCCAGGTCAAGCCTGACCTAAGCCACATGAACGAGGACTTTGCACAATGTGGTGTCCATCACCTCTGGCAAGCATCCATCACATGAGAGGTTTTCTCCTTATCCTAATTTTGAATATCAATTTTGCAACTCTAACTACGGTTAGATATTTTAATTTAAGGTTAAATCTTAAACCATTCTCTGTAGTCATGAAGGATCTGTACCAGTGGATGGGTGGGGAAAGGATTGGGGGATCCCAGTCAGAGAACTCCCTCTATCCCAGATCTAGTATATCTGAAATTAGAGCTTGATCCTGAACTGGTAAAACTCCCATTGATGTCAGGGGGGTCAGACCATGCACTTTTGCAGGTCCAGCAGTTATTCTCCTGTGTGCAGTAGCAAGAGGGCTATTGCAATCTTAGGGCTTTGTCTATTCTCTGAGAAGGTGGGTAAGGATTCACCTGGTCTGCAGTGGAACTTTGTGCTGATTCAGAGAGGTGGCACTTGAGAAATTCATAGGGAAGGAAAAGAGAAAAAAAAATACTTTGTTACTATATAGTCTGTTACTTTGCAATTAATTATTGTGTTTAGCACTATTTTACATTGCATTCTGTTGTGAATTGAATTATCTATAAAAAGAAAATTGCCTCCCATCTTTTAATGTTAGACATTTTGGAGCCAAAGAAATTTAGATCATTTGTAAAAGCTAATTTATTCCCATAAATGTTTGTAGAAGGAGATGTAATCTCATTACTATCTCATATTGGAGCTGACATAGGAACAAGAAATAAGACAAATTTTAGAGCCATGTATTACACCTGTCATGGATTTTGATGTTAAGCAGATTAAAAGTAGGGGTGAGCATTTATGATTTTATGAATTTTACATATTTTCTTCATGGGTTTTTCTTCCATTCCAATTCTACTTATCCATGTCATTTTTGACAAAACTAGAATGTATTATTCAACAGCAGAACTAAAATCTCCAGGTTCCTTTTCCTTAATCCTTTATTCAGGGGTGTAAGGACAAGAACAGAGAAAGTGGTTCTTTAAAAGTTTTACTAGAAATTAAAAACAAAAACGTGAATGGCTGGAGTAGCATGAAAGGGTGTAAACTAAGATGGCACATGTGAATTTGTCATTTTCAAGGATGTAAATCCAAATGGGGATCAACTGGACAGAACAGACTTAAAAAGGACCTGATCTTGAGAGATGCTGCTGTTCTATTGTTTTAACAGAAAAAAATATGCTGAAAATACATGAGGGCCTGATCTTCAAAGATGCTCAGAACCTACCACTCCAGTTAAAGGCAATGAGTTCTGTAGATGCTCAATGTCTCTGGAAAAAAAATCAGACCTTCATCCTTTTATTTATAACCAGAATCCAACATTTTATAAATGAGTACCTAAAGATAGAAAACAGTTTAAGAGCCTGACTTCAGAAGGAGCTGCTGAGTGCTCAGCACTTTTGAAAATCAGGCCACTTATTCAAGTGTTTAATAAAGATTTAGAATCCTAAATTTAGGCACCCTTTTTATAAAATTGTAACTGTAGTTTGAATAATAGATCTCAAATATTCCATCATAAGCCTGATTTAAAATTTTTATATAATGATATAGGTATAATATTAATGCTTTGTTTACTCAAGAAACATCTACAAAATAATAATATTACATCAGGCATTTGCATGAAAAACATAGTATCAATGAATGTTATAAAAAATGCAGAATTAGGAGTACGATTCCTACATTTACAATATATGCCACATATTTGAGTTTTATAAAAGGGTATTTGTTTTGTAATATTTCAAACCAGTTTCTGACAGCAGACTTTCCCACAATACTGTGGGTTTTGTGTGGGACTTTGCCTGTGCTGCCAAGAATATTAAGGAAGTCTGTGGTGAAGTGGATATAAATTCAAGTGAATGTGTGGGAAGAGGTGGGGGGCTTAATTCAATCTCTTCCTCCTAGTCACTTGACTGTTTTGCTTGCATCACTGTTGAATTACCTCCGTGGGATTTCTCCCTTGATTCAACCCTAGAATGCCATTATTTGGACTGATTACACACCCTTTTTCAGCTGCTGTTCTTAATCTATACAAACCCCAGGGGCAGATCCTCAGCTAGTGTAACTTGTCATTTGACTTCAATGGTGCTACAATAATTTACACTATCTGAGGATCTATCCCACCATGACTAAGTGAAATTAGGTTAATTTTAGTACAACCAATTATCTAAAGATTGGCGTAACTTAGATTACGTTGGTGTTGTACCTATTTCCTGATTAACTTAACCCCACCATGCAACTCCTATCACCCTTTACATCAACTATGACTTTAGCCCCATATTGGAATTATAAACTTTTTTCTCCTTTTACAGAATGTGACACCACTTTCTTTCTGGGATTCTGTACAATATCATATCTGGAAGGTTTTCCTCCTGAAATCTGTGTGATTGTTATAGACATCCACATATGTCTTCTCCATGGGCTTGAATCCCACTGATTTAATGGACTTCAGATCAAGTCCAGTTAGAAAAAGGAGAAGAATCAAACAGAATGCACAAGTAGAAGCACATTTTTGTCTTGTTGCCTGAAACGACTACCTGAGAAAACTCTCTCTCTCTCTCTCTCTCTCTGTATATATATATTTTGAACAAGTAGATATGAAACTCAAAGAACAGAGAAGTTACATGGTCAGGAAAGCTTTTCAGTCTAAGAAAATTAGTCAAAATTTTGGGAGAAAAGGGAAAAAAAATACATATGGACCAATTTTTATCCCATTGGCATCAAAGGGAGTTTAGCCATAAACATGGAAGAAGGATAAGAGCCATAAATTCTTAAGAGTGTAAAGGTTTTATTTTTTAAAGTATCACAAAAAAAACTCAAATTTTGCTTTCACCTTAGTGATGAACTTAAACATTAAAAAAGAAATCTGACCTTCAAGGCAGGCATCTGAAATATTTCTGCAGTAGAGATAGAAGAACAAAAGAATTATCATTATGTACACATTTGTCTCTATTATAGTCATTCAGTATACTTTATTGCACTGCTTTGGCACAGCTCACAACATCACGCTAAAAGAGCAGGTTAAAGAGGTTATTCATTTCATTAACATAATGCCTGACATTCAAACTCTCTTATAATTAGTTGATAGCTTTAGACTTCTTCACTGTGAGATGGCTTCCTATAAAATTAGGAATTTCAGTTTTCAAGTGTTAGCTGAAGTATTAATTCAATTAAAACCTAATGAAACAAAATCACCAAAATAAATTGAAATATGGCATGCATTTATGTCTGTGTCATGATCATTGGGTTGTCTGTGTAATGTACATGTGTGAGACTTTCAAGGGATTCAAAACTTTCATTTTTTGTAAATCTTGTAATCAAAAATGCAGGGCCAGATTCTGAGCCCCACTACATCAGCACAAAGCAGCTAGAAATCTGGCTTAGCTGGCACCTAGGGATTCCCTTTACATAAAGGGAATGTGATGCAGAGCCAATACAACAGCTCTCTCCTAGTTCCTGTCTCAGGTCCAGGCAAAGGGCGCATTCCCAGGGCAAGAGAGTATGTCCTGCTCTCCTCCTATACGTAGCTGTTGTAATAGCCCTTAGTGGCCTTTGATAACCAGGTGCAAGAACAAACAGTTTGAGGGCTGCTCTGACTTATGCTGGGAACTGGGATAGTTCTTGTCTGGCTTCAAAATCAACCTTTGCCTGATCCTTCAATGAGCACAGCTCAGCAGGGCCAGATAAAGTCCGTGGTATCTAAATATTTACCAGCTGCAATTCCATTGACTTCTTGACACTTGTGATGGCAGAGGAGTGTGATATTTTGGGGAATCATCTATGTTCAACTTAGAGATAAGGTGGGTGAGGTAATATCTTTTATTGGACCAAATTCTGTTTGTAGAAGACACAAGCTTTAAAGCTTTAAATTCTCAAAAGAATGACAAAATATCACTCTGGACATTTTCTTATTAGAAATTCAAATCCCTTGCCTGCTGTATAGGATTCTTTTCTGCCATAAAATACTATTGTTGGTAATAATTTACATTTTAAATATGGAATACTTAGTGTCCATTTGAAATAAGCAAATAATGGTCAATAACAGAACATCCTGAATCCCATAGGCACTGATTTCATATGTTTTGGCTCAGATGGTAGTATGAGGACCAAATTTAGCAGATTTAAATAATTTATTTTTCTGCTCGTTGCATACTCCCTTTTAAGGTACATGGAATACAGATATAGGTTTCTAATTGAATTGCAAATGACCTTTAAAGACTTTAAGCTACTACTTATCTGAAGTACACCTGCTGCAACGTCTTTACAAGATTTATTACTTTTGAGCCTGTTTCATCAACTTGAGTAGTATATTCTCTCAACTGTTTGCTGTTCCTTTTAAAATCGCAAATCTACCAAGCCTGTACATTTTAGAATGTTCAGATTTACTTTCAGAAAAATGGCAAGTTCACAAGAAATGCCAAGTCAAACCTGCAGTATCATTCCATATTTTGAGGTTACTCCAAAGCATCTCATGCAGAAATGAATATCCCTAAAAATATGACCAAAGACGGTGGCACTCTGCATTAAAGAAGGATGCCATATTTTAGTCCTCCCCCCGCCACAATAATTTCATCACTGGATAGCAATAGGCCAGAAAACAACATTACAGCAATGTCAATCAATGTGCATGTTCTACATTAAACCCATTAATGACTCTACTACTGACAGAGGTGATATTTTACATCAGAGAATGACCTAAGCAACATGACTTCTCCCTTTAGCATCTATTAGGGAGAGTCTTGCATTCATATAATAAAATCATAGAATCATAGAATGTCAGGGTTGGAAGGGACCTCAGGAGGTCATCTAGTCCAACCCCAGCTCAAAGCAGGACCAATCCCCAACTAAATAAAAAAAAATTGAAGAATATTACATCCCTTCTTCTAGACTCCCTGGAAACAAATAAATCTAAATAACTTTGAGGCAAGTTCAACTGCAAAAATAGTAAACAAATAAAAAACAAACAAACAAACACTGCTTGTACAAAGTTAGGGATAAAAATGTATTTCCCCAGTTGCTCTTTGTTGTTACCTCAGTATTATAGTTGAGAATTTAAACACAAAATCCAATGTTTCAAAATTCACCAACAATGATTTGGCTATAAAATCTGAGTGTGCACCCACCTGAACAGAAGCACAGGGGAGAGAGATTCTCTCCCTAGGCCAGAGAGTGTCTAAGGAATCACTGTGTGTGGACTTCTTCAGTCAATTGGCTGGTGTGATCTTTACTGACCTTTACATGGTCTTGCAAGGAGAAGAGTAACATAGGACCCATCTCTCCTCCTGCCAATGACTGGACCGTCCCCATCTGTCTGCTAGTATGTAGGTACCCACCACTGATTGTTGCTCCATGGCATAAAAGTTACGCCTTTCCTTGTGCAGCAGAACCACACTAGTTCTGCTGCTAAGGATTCTTCATAGAGCAGGATTTTCCCCTAAGTGCATGACAAGTACTAATGCATGATAAGTCTGAAGTTGCTTTTGAGCTGACTAATAAAAACAAGTTACTGTATGAGTGGGAGAATACTTTAAAAATAGAAACGTATACATTTTTAATAGTGACATGCCTCAAATTAGAGTCACTCCATTTTCATGAAAGTTTCCTGAAAATAGCACTCTTGGGCTGGATTTAAGCATGAGAACTACCAGCTTCAAAGGATTTCCTGGAAAAAAAAAAAGAGAGAGAGTTAGAACTGAATGCTTCTGGCAAAGTTAATTGTGAAGCTATTACCTACACTTCACATATTCTGAAAGGACTTTACTCGCAATATAACAGTAAGATGCTGTGATGGGTGTACAACCATGCACTAGGCAGAGAAGAATTAAAGAGCACTTGGGCCCCAGGCAGCTCTGCTGTGTGGCTCCTGTGACTGGGATGGCAATCTTGGAGAAGTAAGAGCCTTGAAAAAGGAGTTCAGTCCACAAGGCCGTAGCCAGGGATGGGGATAGACCTCTCATTCTCAGCACCCAGAGAGGAGCATGGCAAAAAATGCTAAACTACCTTAGATTTACTGTGAATGCAGAGTAGTAAGACAGATGGCAGGAGGATCTGGTTAAGACAAAGAAACTGGAGCCACTCTCTCTCTTTAAAAAAAAAAAAGTTTTTCTTCCTTTGTTACCTTGAGGATTGAGTCTAGGGTATAGGCCCCAGGACAGACCCCTGCTGAGAATATGAGCACCTTGAAGTGATGATAGACACATTGTGGGTAGTCGTCCAGGGAAGAAACAAGAGGTCTCACCAGACAAACCTTAACCACTTGCGGCAAGGGTGTCTGGATTGGTACACAGGGTAGAAAGAGAGACTGGGTTCCCCTACAGCCTCACCAGGAGAAGTAGCCAGAAGACCATAGGCACAAGGGGCCAGAAGGACTATTAGGCCTGGCCCAGGACTGTCAACACAGTATGAGGGCCTGGGACTACCGGGTGAACACACTGGTTTACCCTGAAAGGGGTGAAACCAAAGGTTACCTGGCTGGAGGGCTGAATTGCAAGGCAAAAAGGGGATCATTAGGGCAATATTTCCCAAACAGTGGGTGCTGAAATCACCAGTGAGTTGTGGGAAGGTTCCAGGTGGTCACGGGCCTGGTGTGGAAGGGAGGCCCTGGAGAGGAAAAAGGAAGAGCGAGCCCATCCTGCATTCACTCTGCAGCAGTGGCTCCTGGCCAGTGGGGCTGAGCCTGCGTCCCCGCTCTGGCCTGTGCAACCTGGCAGATGGAGTCACCTCTGGCCATTGAGATCTGGCAAATGGGGTAGCAGCGTCACCCAGATTGGCAGTCCAAACCTAGTCAGCTATGTGACCTTTGTGCCAGATCACAATGCCACTCATTGAAATTTGGTCCAGCTGCCCCTCCATCTAGGGAGAGAGAGAGAAGAAAGATGCTGGACTATCATTTTGGTTCCCCCAAAGAAATCTGGACCCAGGGTGGGTGACAAAAAAAGACAAAATACTGTTGTTGGGTTGCCTTACTAAAAGGTTTGGGAACCCCACTGCATTAGCAGACCTGGGTGACAGGACTACAGAGGATGAAACCCTATAATGACATTCTTAGCCACAAGGCAAGGTACTGGCTGGGGAGTCACTTTGCCAAAGAAGCTGTTAATCCTATTCATAGATTTTGTGGGTATATGTTATCTCCAGTTAACTACTCACATAACTGGAGAGTTTCAATACATAACAGTAAATGTGAAAAGAAAAGATTAAAAACAGCCATTCCCAGCTCAGGTTCTGGAAATCATTACATTATTACATATAGCAAGAACCAATCAGGATCTTGGACAGCACTGAGCACAGTATGGACAATAACGAGATACTTTCAGCAGAAAGAGATCCTACGAAATAGGAAGAAAACTGAACTTCAACATACCTTCAACCATCTAGCACTAACAACTCTCGATCAAATCAATTTATCTCCCATCTCTCTCTGATAAATGATATGACAGACACATCATAGCTCTTCATTTTATATCATATGAAATACAGTACATTTTATCAAGAAGTTATAAAAATAAGATGTGTGTGGAGTAAAAAAGTACAACCGTTAAATAAATATCTCTATAGTGTTTGCTAGGGAGGGGAGGAGAGAAGTTGAGCTAACAATCTTGTGTGTTTGTAGTGCGGTCCATAAAGTCCTTTCTCCATCAATTATAGACACATTTGGGACAGGGAAAGCTGCCCCCCACCCACTGTCCCCTAGGAACCATAGAATTCAAGCCAGCTCTTATAGAAATAAAACTATGATGAGTAACCACATTATAAAAAGGGATAATGCTGACGTTTTTAGATCTTTTATACCATCCTACTAGCATATTGTAGTTCAACTGACCACATGAATAATCTAACTATCAAATGGTACACCAAAACCTGCCCTTTAGTTCAGCCTTTTGTATTTCCACAAGATTAAAATTAGTACCCTTAAATCACTGCCTCCTGTTTAGTTTATTTAAGCATGATAATGAGGAAATGCTTGTCATCTAGATTCATTATCCATTTTAGTAGTTGTAGGAAATTACATAATACTGTTTATAAAGGCTGAAAACCAAACTGTAATTTCTAATGTTCAGGTTCCAAAAATAGCATCTATGCATAAGACACTATTCACAGACTGTTAGCACTAGAGCTAATAATTGCAGAAAATCTGATCTCCTGATGAATTTACCATGGTCAAGTTTGAGGTTTTTATCTCCTTTTTCTTCCTGATATTTAGTCAAAATCATCATCTGGTTTTCTTAAAACTGCATTGCAAAGTATATTTAGACAAAATAAAGGAAAGATCATTTTATTACCACCATATTTTGGTTACAATTAAAAAAAGAAGGAATTGCTCATCAGTGGTTTTCTCTTCCTTTGTGGATCTTTATTTCTTTTTCTCCATCCGCAGCTTTTTGAAGAAGGGGTTTTCTTGGGGGGGGGAGCAGGTGGTGGGGAGTGGCATGTGATATAAATACTATGATTTCTGCTATAGACTTTACAGGGCGTTGTTTTCATTTGTCTTTAGGTGACATTCTCCACTTTCAGCATTTTGCTCTTCCCTAAATTATTTAAGTCAGAATTATAGGTCTGGTTTCTTTTTTTGCAAAGATCTTGTTCTACTCATCAATAAAAGTCATATTGGTTTAGTTAATAAAGCCCTAAGTGGATTACATTATGTTCAGTTTCAACTCCCATGTAAAATATACAGTACCTAACAGTACAGATGTCCATTATTTAACAATAAATAAATAAATACAAAATAAAAAAAAATTCAACCCTGAAGGAAGAGCCAAATTGTTTCCTAGATTCTTCAAAATTAGAGATGGGAAAGTTTGGCTAGATCATCTGGACAATTTCCCTGCCACTGCAGGATTGTGCAGTGTATTTGCTAGTATCTTGTAAAGCATAGTGCCTTACTGCACAGTCCCTCAGATGCCTTACAGAGACTCATTGTTCATCCAAAAGGCTTATAGACCAGGTGGGTGGCACAGCCTCTGTGGCTGAGATTTATGGGGAAGGAAGAAATAACTTGCAGTGTGATAATTTCTCTGCAATGTTGTCTGCCCCTTCCCTCCATTACAGTGGCTCCTATGTTTGTGGTTTCCCATGCTACATAATTCCCCTTTGTGTGAATAGCCATTCTAATAGGAAAGAAGAATGCCACAGACAATGGCTACTCCTGTATTCAGGTCTCTTTGTATCCCTGCATGCTTCTTCTGGAAAAACTTTCCTTCCCCTCCATGGAAGAAAGCATGCTGTGCAACTGCTATTCCCCACCCCTTTCCATGCTCTATCCCCAGTTTTCACTGAGCTTTGCTCCAATCCTCTTGCATTTCTGGAAGGGAAGTGCATAAACTACGGTTTGGTTCAATAGATGCTACAAAAGGATTGTAGGTTTTCATGCCATTTTAATATCCAGCAAAACAAGAATTTTTCAAACTATGTAATATTACCCATGCTCAAGTGATAAATTTTCCCTTGCAGGCAGAATGGCATATTGAAAGAGTTAGCATGAACAAACAACATGGGGTTTGGACTCTTTTAGCATGACTGGAATTGCTTTTGTAATTCATTTATCACCTCACTGGATATTGATAGCTCATGGGGGAGCACAGTTGTTTCATTTCTTGAATTTTAACCTTTTAAAAACAAAATCTAGGGGCTAATGGTGAACTGTGCATGTGACCATGACACTGTCCACGGGCCTGACTGGGAAGTTCCATCTTTCACATCAACCATAACTACCAGGTGTCTAACAAATATGAAAGAAAAAGCCCTCTCTCTTTATTCCCCTTTCTGCTTCTGGATGATATAAGAAAGGACTTCTTCTCCCCCCTACAACCCTCTTCCCATGATTGGAAGAGTCCACCACCCTCTTTCTGACTATTTTCTGGCAGCTGGGAGAGATGGGCTCCACAATTTCTCTTCCACACTCCAGTTAGCCTGATTTTTTTAAAGCCATAAGATATGATCTCAATCTGGGGGTTATGGACATGTGTCAGCGGGTTGCAATTAACTCTGCCTTTCCTATAATGCTAAATTAGAAGGGGGAAGGAATCCTAGCGAAATCTCACCTGGATGGGAAGTGGGTCCTGGTGTAGAAGAAAGGATCCTGATTTGGAAAAGGTTGAGAAGCACTGAGATAAGGGAAATAATGAAAGTAATTGCAAAGAGGGAACTATGATACATTAAGCTACATCTTTAAAAGGTAAGCACTTGAATTCTGTGTCCAGTAGTTATCTTTTATAAGTGGCTAACAGAAATCATTTAATTCTTTTTATGCTAGCCGGGCTTACCTAAGGAGAGGTTGAATTTATGCAAGACCCTTTATACAGAGTACTTTAAAAATACATTTTAATTGAAGTCTGGTAACATTACCGATGTGAAAATAAGTCTCACCCATGTGTGCACGCACTAACACACACAGAGAAAATAAATCTCTCTGTTTAAAACACATTAAAAACAAATTATGCCCTCAAAATAGGTAATATGCACTCTTCTGTTTTTGAGGACATAATTTGTTTTTAATGTTTGTTGCTGGTTTTTAACACAGCCATTTGTGGTTATATTTGTAATAACTTGTAGGCTGAAAGTGTCTCTCCAAAATGGAAAGCAGAGACAAAAAGAGGTCACGTCTAGCTTTGATTAGAGCAAAATTCCCATTAACACTAATGGGAGTTGTATGAGCACATTGAGGGGGAGATAAGATCCCGATAATTCCCCCCCACATATCCTTAGATTAAAGACTTCTGAAACTGAGTATTTCTGACAGGAGTATTTGAAAGGACATGATAAATCTGTTCAAAAAAGTTCAAATCCTACAGTGTCCAAATCCTATAAATAGGAAGGAACCATGTACTTTTCTGTATCTGCCCACCAAAGTAATAGAATGTTTCAATCTCTTATGACACCCTCCATCCTAGAATCTCAAAATGTGTGACGACCGGATTAAGCCTCACAAAACTCCTGTCAGATAGATAGTATTGTCCTCATTTTACAGAGGAGAAAATAGCAGCACAGGAAGGTTCGGACCAGCAAATTGAGGCATTCAAAATTAGAGCCACTTTTGAAAATTTAGCCCTAGGCAACTTGCCCAGAAACACAAAGTAGTTGTGAATAAAGATCCATGGCAGAGCCATGAGTAAAGATCACTTCTTTCATAGTCCTCTGATACACACAATGCCATCCTTCCACTCCACTGAAAGAGGGTACACTGCTCTACAGCCAAAATGCTTCTGAAATAAATGTAGTCAAACCTTTCCTCTTTTTGGTCCCTGAAGACGGAAATGATGCTTAAAATTGTTGATTG